ACCCAAACCATTCTGTGATTCTAAGTATTGCATCTTGGTTGGTTCACATTGGTGATGCAGCTTTTTTAAATGCTGCATTGTAATACAATATAAAATATAAAATAAAGAATCAGTTTAGAACAAAAAAATAAATTATATATAGGAATTTAATTCTGTAGCTGTTGAAATACATTTTTCTTACCTTATCAGAACACTTTCCACCAGTTTATCTCCAAAAAAACCTTTCAACAAAATCAGCATAATTTTAAGTTTTGCAGTTCTGAAAGACTTTCTTCTTCCCATGGCAAATGGTTCAATCTGTATTTTTCTAACCAATCTTAATAATTGGTAAAGATCTTATATGTGTTCCATGACATCACCTATCATCTCTTTTGGCAGGGCTTTGAACCAGACCTCCGAATAACTAAAATAACTGAACAGTACTCCAAAGAGGTAGGAGCCCAAGAAATAGCTTGGTAGAGTAGTTTGAATAGAGTTTATTTTCATTATAAATGAAGTTGAATTTCCTTGTCTTCCTGATCTTCCTTCTTTTATTCACATTAGTATGGTACCAAGTTACTTCTCACAACAGATCCTTTGGAAGCTGCAGACAGTGCCAATGTCTTAGTTACTGATACGTGGATAAGTATGGGACAAGAAGAGGAAAAGAAAGAGAGGCTAAAGGCATTTCAAGGTTATCAGATTACAATGCAGGTAAAAACTGAGATTTAGTTTTTTGTTGATGCTTTTACAGTTTGAGTTTATAAGAATCAACATCAGCAAAGCATGGATTTGGTATTTTTTTGAGTGGGGCCATGGGACAACCACATGCAAACCTCCTTCCAGCTTGAAAAACTCATAAAGATAACAAAGTTTGAGTTATCTTATACACTTTACATGGCTTGGCCTCTTTCAGAGCTTCTCAGTGAGGTCTAACTCCAGAACACATGCAAGAGAGCTAACCCTTTACTTCTTCATGACTTAAAAACTAGTTAGAATTTTGCATTTCCTCTTTGCTACCAGAAATGATCCCTTATATTTTATTTATAATGAGCAGCTCACAGGTTAACTCTTAAATGCCTAGGCAGCATTTGGGGCAATTTTGTGTATATCTTTCAATACATAAAGCATTACATGTATGTCTTTAAAATCATCTAGTTGAAATGCTTATCAGCACAAAATCAGTCAGAGAAAACGTAAAGTCATAAACTATTAATAGTCCAAGATAAAAAGGACATTTTCCTTGCTCATAGAATTACTGGTTTAATTGACTGTGTTTTAACATAAGTTCACAAAATACTGTTAACGGGTTTGTCTCTGAACTGGCCTAAAATGCTTTAATTCATTGTTCATTGGTATTAGATCAATATATTATGAGTGACAATATAAAAAGAAAAAAAATAGCCTTTTAAACCATGGTTTAGTATGTTCTTGTTAAAATTATCAATAGTATTAAATATCTGTATAGTTTTCAAATCAAGAGTGCACTTTATTGATCCACTAGATCACTGGAGTTTTTACTCCCCTACTAAAGCCAGAGAAATAGGAGTAAATATTTGACTTTTGTGAAGTCAGCACTGAACTCTTACTGATTTAAATGGAGATATTCCCATCTTATTCACAGATGAGGAATTCTTTTGAAGTCAGTGGAATTCTTTTGAGTTCATCATCCAAGTAACTAGTGGGAGCTAATATAAAATTTGTTAACCTTTTTACTAGTTAAAGATTTTATTAATGTCCTCACATATTTATTTTTATATGCTTTTTGATCTACAGACTGCAAAATCTGCTGCTTCCAACTGGACTTTTTTACATTGTTTACCCAGAAAACCTGAAGAAGTTGATGATGAAGTATTTTATTCTCCACGGTCATTGGTTTTCCAGGAGGCTGAAAACAGAAAATGGACAATTATGGTAATAAAGGAAGGTAACAGTAGTTAGAGGTTAGGGTCAGCTTCTGTTCTGCCTTACTCTGTAGGCTTGGATTCAGCTTAGTTCCTCAATAAATCATAAATGTTAATACGTATGTTTCAAATGCACTCCACAGCACATGACTATTTTGAACATAGGTAACATATGTAGCACAAATACTTCTGGACACAAATGTGACCTGTTTTGATGATAATCTGTTGTTGCTTGACCCAGTTTTTAGCACTAAGTGATAAAAAACTGTAATTTTTTGGTATGTAAATCTCTGGGTTTACTCTAATGATTAACTCAGCTGCTCAGTTTTGAAACATGTGAAATGCTGAGGTCCCAGGTACTGCTCTTAGGAACTGTTTTCCCAAACACTTAAAGCTAGAGATTCTGCAGTTTCTTCTCAGGAAAAACTGCCACTGACACAAATAGGAACTTTCCCTGAGAAAGTTCTGCAAGAGCAAAGCTTTGAAGGACCCTGAAAAGTTATGATGTGAGTAAAATACTGTGTGATCCATGGGAACCATGAGAGGACACTTGGCATTTAACATAAACCATAACTCCCCTCACCACGTTCCTAGAATTTCAGAAAATTACTGCCAGAAAATTACTTATCTCAATAGCCTGTTATTTATTGTCAGCTTTAGAACCATCATCTTGACAAAAACTAGTGAAAACTTTCAGAGGTGAAAAAAAAAAAGCAAACCAGACATGGCATTATCGTAGCTCTCAGATGAACTCTAGATGTACTCCAAGTCAGTAAGTGGTTGAGTATTGTTTTTACCAAAACCTCAGATTTTTGACAGGGTCAAAATTATTAACAAATTTGTGTTAAATTCATAGTTTTTGCCTTAAAATTCCAAAAAGTGCTTATATTTTTTATTTTAATTTTGCAATGTTTCTAATTGCCCTAAATATTTTTTTGGTCTTTTAAAGAAAATATATTCTTTACTTTGGGTTCCAGCTGCACATTTTTGGGGGGTAAGAAAAATGACATATTTGTATTTTATCAAGCTAAAAAGATAATGAACATATGGGTCTTGTTTATGTATTATTTTTGACCACTTTCAGCTCAAACAGCACACTGAAAAATAAATTATTTGCTCAGCTGTAGTTCGAAACAGGGCTGAGTGCAGCGACGCCACGGGTAGCAGCAAGGGGCTGCACAAGCTGTCCAGTCCCCACCGCATGCCTGGGACTGCCTGCGACACTGAGCAGTGCTGAAGGGAAAGGAAGGAGAGACAACAAGACCACAACCCCTGGAGAACCTTTGTAAATCCAGTTCTGGGCCAAAATAACAATTTGCAGTCAGAGATTGCTGTGAAATCACAACAGTGTGAGACGGGTGATACCTTGCCAAACCCAAGCAAGCATGGGGCTTGTTATGTACACAGGCATGGGGAGGATGGCAGAGCGGCTGCAACGCCATGTTTTATTTAGCTGGTGTTCCCATTACTCTCATTTCACAGCCATACCTAAGGTACCAGGGGAGGGCAGGAGGGGTAGATGACACACCATTAACCTCAGTGAGAATTTTCCATGTTTTAGCACAGAAAGTATAGCTAAAGTGGAATAAATGTCAAAGTCCTTATTCTAGTATGGTACTCACTGATGCTCATGGAAGTTCTGCTGAAATCCACAAGCTACTGTTTGGGTACCTACAGCATCTCCTTGCAGTGGCTGAGGATACAATATAACACACCAAAAAGGCCTCAGCATTTGATCTAAATGCTTCATCTGGATTTCTCCTAGGCTGTCTGTTAATGTATTTTGTCCGCACTGAGAAAACCTATCAGCTACAATTCAGAACATCCTAACTGATTTTCAGCTCTTTCCTGATTCATCATCAGAAATTTTAACAAATAAATCTAAGCATGCAGTTTTTGTCAGGACAATAATTTTCAACACAAGACTTTAGAGCTGGAAAATATTCCCCCCTTATTTATTTTTATGGAGTATCTGTTTCCAATGTGATTGGATTTTTTCTTTTCTTCCTCCTCTAGGCTGTCATGGTTTCCCTGCTGACAGATTACTCACCACAGCTACAAAAGCCTACATTTTGATGCTTGGATTCCTGCCAAGAGAAGAATATTCCTCATCAGTAGAACATTCTGGTCCTCAAATACATAGATCTTCTTCAGAAAGGATCAAGGCAATGAATGATTCTTTAATAAAACCATATAGTTGGCTGTATAATATTGCATTACATTCGTGAAAATGTTCAAGACAATAAACACCATTGAAAAGGTGCTTTTCATCGTGTGACTCCAAGTTGACTATCCTTTCTAGTGATCAGCATGATGGAAAATGTTCCAAGGCTATACTTTAATGATTGACTCTACCAGCATCATAGGCACAGCGTAGTCTACACATAGGTAGCTGTGTTGGAACTTGCATAGTGTAATATGACAGTCATAAACTTCTCCCTATACCTGTCCATTTAATTGCTGATCTCAGGAAGTGTGTGCAGAGAGGCAGTGCGTTAGTTTGCCTTGGTTGCCTGCACTTCTGGGCACCCTGAGTCTTGTTTCTGTCCTCCAGCCAACCTCCAAATCCCACTCCTGTTTAACACCAAAAAAAACAGAGATCTTGTGAGCATTATCTTCTTCTATGACATTCTGGTGGGCTGGCACGGGAGGATATTGCTGTGTAATTGGAATAGAGCAGCTTCCACAGAGTTGGATGCGGCAGACAGAGACAACTGGAAGGAACTGGTTCATTCTTTGTCCATCTGCCCTATAACGTCTTTCCATAAACAGAATTTTGGCTAAAGAAGCACATTTTCTGTTTCTTTTTTTCTAAGCAAACATGAGGGGCACCATATGATGGAACTGCATACAGCTCCTTTGTGGAAAGCATTTGCTGCATTTTGTCTGGCATTGTAACATGCTGTACATTTCAGCTAATCCTTTGCAGTAGTAAAGAGATTCATGACATTTGTAGTCTTTATGATGGCTGGATGTTGTGTTTAGTATTTCAGGTAAAACTTTGCATACTGTTAAAAGACACCTTCTTTGTTGTTTCTAATCAGTTTCAAGAATATGTTGATTTTTTTTCCTGCTGTAATATTGTAAAAATGTCTGTGATTTTTAAAAAATTCTGCAAATGAGTTTCCATTTTCTGACCAGCTGCAAAACATTATTTAATTCTTTTCAAAATTGGAGTTCACTGCTGGGCCACACAGATCACTCAAACAAAAATAAAAATGCATTTGTTTATCTACCCACTTATGATTGAGTCATTATTTTTGCAGGCATTTGTGTGCCCCTTGTTAAAATTATCATTTGCCATTACAACATTACAAGGGTTTCAATAATTCAGCGATCATTTGCACTTCAGCAGAGATCTAGCTGCATCAATGATGGGGGAATAGGGTATGTGCTAGAAATCAATGTTTTACTTCCCAATTTAGTATGTGGAGGAAAAAGCGTGCAATACGGTGTATTTCTGGTTGTATTAGGTCCTGCTTTTTGAATTAGGTTCCAGTTCAGCAAGATATTTAAAAGTATGGTTGGTCCTCTTGGAGCTAGTCAGCTGTTCAAGTGCTTAGAGGTGTAGATATCCTTACTAACCTGATTTCAGTGCTAGATGAGAGTAAGACAACTCATTTTGCTAATCCTTTCATTAAAAAAAGCATTAATATCAGTTTTATTGTGTTGATTAATGTACTATCAGTGAAGCCAGGTAGATTTATAATAAGAAAGTTGTATTGTTAAATGTGTCCTGGTGAGCAGATTAACAGTTATCTGCTACGCTTTTGCTTCTCTGATTAGAGCTAATGTGGATCTAGGTTACTGCAGACTCTTTTTATACTTAGGAATCTGAGCAGGATGCCAGACATCTGAATGAATCCCCTTGACATTTTTAAAACACATGTCTTTTTAAAACACATGAGCAGTGGAGTCCCACATTTCCAGGAGGGTAATTTCACATGGTTCTATTCCTCTGTGAGCACATACGGCACAGGACGATAGTCCTTGCTCTGTCTCACACAGACTGCTCACACCATCAACTGTTCTGATGTCTTTTAGAAGTTCTGGGTGGACTTAACGCATGTGTGCTGAGCAACTGACCATTGTGTGGAAGCACTGAAGGCACCACACATTTCTGCGCGTGCAATACCCAATCTGTGCGCGGTGTGCTGGGAGCCAGGCACGTCCCAGCAGGGCAGATTTAGGGAACATGTGCAGGCTGTCTGCACAGCACACAGAGCAGATCTGACACTTCCTAGAGGCGTTGGGTTGGTACCAAATAGACACGCACATCTCTGCCCCAGGGACCCAGAAATATGGTGCCCTGAAGGGACTTTCTCTGCCTCCCCACACAACAGAACAGCACTGCGAGGCTTAATCCGCTTGGGCAGATGAAGCATCCCGGGATTGCCGGGTGGTAGCTGTGGTACCGGGCAAGACGGTATTATTGAGCCATTCAGACTCCTCATGAATTTATTCCTTCAATTTACAAGTGATGACTGCAAATGTGATGAGTAAAGGAAACAGCAATAATGTAGAAAGATTTTCTAGGGGAAAAAAATAGCTATCATTATTCAAAGGGCTTAGAACAAATGCATAACAGGTAGCAGTCACTAATAGCTTACAGTGTTTTTAATTACATTTATTATGCTTTAATCAGTAGAAGTACTGTTTTCATTGCTGAGTGCACTTGAAGGATAGGGTGTTGAAGGATAGGGTGTTGTTTTCTCTGTCTGTTTACACAGAAGCAGGTCCTGCCTAGACCTAGACCTTCTTTCCACAAAAGCCTGCTCTTCCATTTGACCTAGAGAACAGTCCTGGGCCAGTTTGGGTCTATCAAGTCGCACCCACATCTGACTCATTTAATAACCCCGTGCTCTGATATGGCACCTTCACACATTTGCAGTGCTGGGTTCTGGTCCCTCTCCAGGACCATGCATGGGCTGGGGCAGCTGCCAGCCTAATCCATCACATGCTCAGAGGCACAAATGTGTGACTCTGAATCAATGGGGCACTTAGAGCAGAAACTGGCGACCAGAGAGGACATCCTATGCCATCTCAAATGGCCCTAGGTCTTGTGATTTGGCACATGACCCACACCCTCAGTATTTTCATGACCCTTTGGAGGATTACTCCGCTTCTACACCTGGAGTTAGAAATGCAGTATTGCTCATTAGCAATACATTTACACACTCTGTAAGCACTTGTTCTGCAGCTTGTTACTAGCAGTAGTGGGATTCTTTGGTTACCCTTATGTGATCTTCTGAAAGTGATCTAACATTAATTAGAGATTCAGTAGAGAAAAAGGAGCAAAATGCTTCTCTACAATTTTCTCAAGAAGTAAGAACAACATTTTTTTCCTCTGTGTACTAAAAAGCTAAGGGACAGCACAGTAACTATAGCAGGTGAGAGGCCTGCAGCAAGGATTTACGAATAATTAATATCTCTAAGAATAGGAAGAACAGTAACTTAGGAAGGACTAAGTAGGGAGCCTGGACAATCAGAAGGGAAAAAAGAAAAGTGAGAATTCTCAAAGAGAATTACTAATTTTATTTGCACCAGTTTACCTCAGGAATAACAGTGGAAAAAAATCCACAGCAGATTTACTCATTGGCTGGTAGCAGAAGCAGTCTCCTGTGAGAAACTGAGTTGCAAAAAAGGAAATACAGGAATAACTAGATTAATTAAACAGCAAGGAGGCACCCAGGTTTGATTATGTGAAGTCCTCCAGAACTCTTGAATTAATATTTACCCCTCATAAGACAGGCTAGTAAATCAGCCATAATTATTTTGCTGCCTTTCAAATTTTGTGAGAGAGGGAGGAGGAGCTGCACGAAGGTCTGAGCAATGCACTGAGCTGAACCTTCAGTCTGGGGAGAGCTTTCATGACTGAATTGTGTTACACTGAGCTTAGTTTGGTTTTCCAAGAATGTGTAATACTGGTGGAAGTCTGAAAAACAGACTTCACACAAAGGGAAAGGTTTCTTCTTTCTTCTGGCTCTCCCATTACTCAGTTAATCACTCGGTTAATGTATTGAGCAAATAAATAGTGCTTTTTTGATTATTTTGCCACAGCTATTTAACCAGCTGCCTTTCAAATGCAGAGCCCAGAATTTCTGGGTCTTGCCCAAGGTTATGTGTACAGAGACACTTCATAAGCCACAATAAACATTTTATTCAGCCCAGCATTTGCTATCATGACTAATGGGATACAGCTATTTGCAAGGCTATTTGATTCTTACATGATCTTGTTACCAACTCTTTGAAGAAATTCCAAACCTTTGTGGCCTCTGTAAATGCTGATGATCCCTTCCATGTGCATGTGTGTAGAGGATTTTTCTCCAGGGGCAAGCAATCTGAGGTGACTCCATTCAGAGAGCAGATCTTTCACAACCACAGTCAAAGCATTGTCTGACCCTGCCAAATGCCTTGGAAAGCTCCTTGTGGTTTGCGTTATATGCTAGAGGACTATTGAATTCTGCTGCTCTCTAATGAGCCTGTTTTAAGGGGGTTGGCACGCGTGCAAAGTAGGCTCCAACACAAGCGTAATACATCCAGAAAGAGGGACGAGCATCAAAATTGCGAACTCTGCTGATCAAAGTTACTTAGTTTAGCCAAGACTATGAGGAACAGCAGTGATAGCTGGAGGAGAAGGGTACTGAAGGGTGAGAGAGTAGGGCAGATGCAGGTCACACTTAGTGACTTAAGCGCAAAATAATGTTTGTTGGAGGGAGAAAGCTAAACCTACTCACACAGGTTATGAGACTTCACAGGTCCTTCTCCAGCTCATAGACAGCAAGTTCAATGGTGTCACACCTGACTGACTTCTGTCCTCTCCAGCATCCTCATCTGAAATGCTCACCCGCTGTCTGAATGTGAGGTGGATGCTCTCCATGGGACACACCATGGTCCCACTCCTAGACAATTTGCACTAGTGGACGCGGAGGAGCATGCCATGGCTCCCTTGCCCTGATTCCCCATTGGTGGGAAGCAGGGCGTATGGGGTAGGGTATGCAGTTGGTTTGCTCTCCCAGCCCTAGGAGGTGGCAACTCCTCCATGCCCCCAGGTACAGCACACAGGATCCACAACATGCCCCAGTGTGGGGCATCCATTTCTAAAGGTAAAGACCAGGCTGATCATGGTTAACACCATCTCAGTGATGTTAAAACACCTCTTTTGGGGTGGCCCACACAGCACAGAAAG